CGCGACCCCGCGGGGCCGAGGCCCTCGCGAGCGGCGACTTCGGGCCTCTCGCTTAAGAGGGGCCCAGCGCGAGGCTGCTGCTCTGCCTGACTGAAAGGTCCTCGCGCGCATTGAGCGTCGACGCTCACTTTCCCGAAGGAATGGCAGCAGCGCTGCTACGCTCATTCTTCCATGCACCGTCCATCTCGAGATCTGAGCCTGTGGCTGCTTCGGGCTGGGGAGTGCCTGACATTTGTCGCTGGCTGGGCGGGCGGCCTGCCTGGCGGCGTCTCGGGCCTCCACCAACGCTTTGCACTGCTGAGCCACACGAGGATCGAACAGCCTCAAGTCTACAGAGATATGCATCGTCAGGCTTGGCACCCCCGACAACGTTGGACCAGGCCGCCTTGGATTCGGACACCAACTGCTGCTATTCAAACTCGGGCTGCTGTCACTGAGACTTGAGCGTACACACATTTTCGAAATCGTGCCCGAGCGCCTTCTCAGCCTTGCCAAACTTAGCTTTGAGACTGGACAGCAAAGACTTGACGTTGCTGTGCTGCTGCTGCGCAGGCTGCGCAACACGAGAGGCAGTATCCGGATCACCATCACGAAGGGCACGTAACTTGACCGATTGCTTCTTCCGAGACGCAGACATGAGGGAAGTTGCTTCGAACTGTACATGTACCATGTCGGCGAGGGGTTGCAATTCTTCTTCAGAGAAAGCTTGAGCCGCACTTAGCGATGCCGACCAATCGTCCCGCTGTTTCTTGGTGTATCCCTTCCATCCGTTACCATGATTGCTGCTGCTGTTTGCCCACGCGCCCCCTGGAGGCCGAGAATTTGTAGGCTGTACGTGTGGCAAGTCGTCGCTGGAATGTTGGCAATACTTCTACCAGTGCGGGTTTTTGCGACACGACACGAAGGAGAGACTGCTTATGCTTGCACACGCGTGCGCCTCCTCAAAGGAGGCTGCCCCCTCAAAGAAGTTCCGTACGCGCAGTGTGTAGTGTGTGCGTCAACCTGTTGAGCCAACCTGGACTGAGCCAACATGGCTACGGATCCTCCTCCTTCTCCTCATCCGCCTCCTCGTTATTTGATGCCTTCGACGCGGCGAGAGGAGGAAGGCAGGTAGCCAAACCCCCTCCAAGCGAGTTTGCAAACCTGGCCACCCACGCCGTCCCGCCGCTCAAGCAAATACACTGCCTCAGACGACGACCGTGAAGGCGGGCTCAAGCACGCAGACGCTATCGAACCCACCTTCCACCACATATAGGCGCGTCCCTGACCAGGAAGCGGAAGCACGTGTCTAACCACATACAAGCAGGGGTGCCCCTGACCAGGAAGTGACAGCCGAACTACGTTTTCACTTGACCAGGAAGTGAAACACAGATACCTTTATCACCAGCTTGTCGGCAAGCCATTGACGTAGCCCCTTGGCCACCAGTTTCTGCACGAGCCGGGGACGGGTGGCGCGACCGCAGCACGGAGACGAACCATGGCAACACAATGCACAGACCCAGGGGCCTCAAAAGAAACGGCGGCGGCGGCCATTTGGCCAATGCCGAGACTCCCGAGGGGGAATGGCCTTGAGCTAGAATGGCTGCGGCCCCTCCTCCCTCATCCTCGTCCTTCAATTCCTCCTCCTCCTCCTCCTCCTCACCTCCTCCATTCCGTTTTCTTTTAAATAATTTTGCCCTGTCGCACCGCGAGGCCAGATTTTAGGGCGGGCCTGGTGTTTCGCCTGAGACTTCCTCACCATTTATGACTCTGAAGCTCGAAGATTGGCAACCGTTTCACAATTGGAGGGGGTGGTTTTCAACATGTGGATCTCGCCTTGGCGCCGCGCACGTTCGTTTTAGACATGTGCAAGAGCTTCACGGATTTATGATAACCCGTTTTCAAAATCTGGATCTCGCCTCAGCGCTGCGCACATTCGTGACAAAAAATGCGAGAACTTTACGGATTGAGAAGAACCCGCTTGCAAAATCTGGTTCCCGCTCTAGCGCTGCGCACATTCGTTGCAAACAAATGCGAGAGCTCCACGGATTGAGGGCGGGCTTCCTTTTCACAAAACGTGGCCCTCGCATTAGCGCCGAGCACCTCCATTCATAAACATGTGCAAGGGTTTCACGGGTACCAGCGACCAACGTACCAGAAACGGCGGTTTGGAAGGATCCCAGACTTTACGGGTGCAAGAGTTACGTTGATTCGCGGCGTTGACATCCCAAGGGCGGCGCTCTGGCACGATCCAAGAGCGTCAAGACGCAACATATCAGGTTGCTCCGTGGCGGTGGCATCCCGAGAACCATGCTCTGGCATGCTTCAGGGTCCACAAACAGCTGTCTTCCAACGGGGCAGATCCCTCCATGGACATAAACCGTTGTAGGGGCCTAGGAAGAGGGAGCTTGAGGGAGGGTGTACTCCAATATCGTTGATTTGATGGCTCTTGGGTTTACGATGGTCCTCCTCCTCCTCCTCCTCGTCCTCCTCCTCCTCCTACTCTTCCTCCTCTCTGCACTGCAGCGTCGTAGTCTTGCATGCGCCGCCCGCGGAGGCGGCCGAGAGCGGCCATCAGAGACCTGGTTCCCCTGCGCTCTGGGTCAGGGGCTGCGGCCCGCACGCGTTGAACCACGATGGGACGTTCTGCCGTTTCGGCCCCCAGAGGCAGATGCTTGCCCCGCCCAACTCGGTCCATCCAGCTGCCGCGCCGCGGGCTGCCAGCAGGGCTGCGCTGCCTAGGGGCAGCGCGTCTGCAACTGTTCGTGCCAAAACCGGCTGCAAATCTGCATCCCCACCTCCAGCCTTCAGCCGGCATGCCAGGTCGGTGAAGTGACCCTGATTAGCGCCAGCTTTGTGAAGCTGGATGCCGCCACCCTGCCGCTGCTCGGGGAGGAGCCGCGCGCAGCGTGTAGGGTGGCATGAGTGGAACCGCACGGCGATAGTTGAGCAATGTAGTCAGTGTCTGTGCATTCTGCGGTATGGGAATCCGCTCCTCCTCCTCCTCCTCCTCCTCCTCCTCCTCCTCCTCCTCCTCCTCCTCCTCCTCTTCCGCCTCCTTCTCCTCCCAAGTTCTCCGCGTCGTCGACCGTCTCATCTGCCCTTCTCCTCCCTTCCCCCCCCCTCCTCCTCTGCACCCCTTCTTCCTTCTCCCCCCCCCTCCCCCGCCCGTTCTCTTCCGCTCTCCTCCCTACCCCTTTCGTGCTCCTTTTTCGCTCATGACCCATGCTCCCGACCGAACGTCGCGTCCCAAGCACCAAGAGAACTCCTCGACGCGATGCCGACTTGGTTTGGTGCGACGTCCGTCCATGGTGGGCGCGAGGAGGAGGAGGAGGAGGAGGAGGAGGAGGAGGAGGAGGAGGAGGCGCGCTCGGAATGTCTCTATCACGTCCAGCTGGCGCGCAGAAATTTGGAGGCTGGGCGCCACATGGGCTTGGCGGTGTAACTAGCTGCTCGCCTGCATAGCTCTCAACAGGTCGCCGCGGGCGCCCGCGCTGGCCCGCTCACCTCCCCGAGTTCGTGGCCGCGGCCGAGGCCTTCAGCGTCTCGAAGCCCTCCGTCGACTTCCTCTTGATCGTGGACACGTGGCCCTTGGCCTGCACCATGGCCAGCGCGTCCTTCTCGGAGGCGCTCATCGACGGCGCCGCGGGGACGCCGCGGAGGGACTTGAGCACCTCAGGAAGCAACTCCTGGGAGGTCCTCGCAAGGACGAACCATTAAGCCAAAGTGAGGAGCCACTAAACCAGAGTAGGCAAGACAAAGCCTGGGATCAAGCTGGATTAAGCGGGGCTGGGCCAGATTACATTGGATTATGTCGAATTTAGCCTGTCTTCGACCACGGATCTACCAGCGCCGATGCTGAATGTAACCTCCCAGGAGTTGCATCCTAGAGTGCGAGGCGGGTATGTATTCATATCCACCGCCTGGGGAACTCATGATTTGGGACTCCAGCGGACAGTGGATCTGGATGCATTTGTGCCCGTGGGGGGCCCGAGTAGCCGCCGACCCTGTCGGCGTGTGTGAGGGGCTTGTCCGTTCGAGTCGTCGTCTCCGTCATTCGTTAGTCGTGGTCTCTGGCATCCCCTTTCCCTAGGCCCCCCCTTTCCCTGGGCCCGTCGCCGCTCCCCCCCTTTGCCTGGGCCCTCCTCCTCAAACACTGGATCCGTCGCCGCTCCCCCACCCCTTCCCTAGGCCCTCCTCCTCAAGCGCGCCAGCCAAAGCGAAATTGAACAACGTCGAAATTGACTCGAAGGGAAGCGCCTTCCCTTTGATCCTTCCCCCGCCGGGAGGGGCGGAAAGGTCCCGAGGGAGGGCCCCAGGGTGGGGTCCCAGGGGGGGGTCCCGGGGGGGGGTCCCGGGTCAGGTATGACTCCCCTCCGGGGGGTCCCGGGGCCCGAAGAAGCCCCAAGACGGCAGTTTGGCACCAAATCGCCGAACGATCTGTCCAAGAGGCCTTGACGGCCTCCAGACGCCCCACGAGCCCTGCAAGACGCCCCAAGAGGCCTCCAGGAGCACTCCCAAGATGACCCCAAGAGGAAAAAACACAGATTCCCCATTGGTTTTGCTGCATTTCGGCGTCCTCGCCTCTTCCGCTTCCGTACGCTCCAAGAAGGCCTGAGAGGTCTCCCAGATCGCTCCAAGACTTGTGATGTCGGGTCCCCTGGTGAGGCGCCCATGTTGGGAAAACACCAAGAAAGGTTCAAACTAGGTTCAAAAAAGGTTTCGGCATTTTCGCAAAAGAAGCTAAAAAGAAACCCCGAATGTAGGTCGGGGGAGGGTCGGGCGCGGACAGGCGCGCAAAAAGAAACATCGCATGCGACGGCGTAACAGCAGCGCGCCCAACACATCGTGGATCAGCCAAGCTACAATGTGGGCTCGAAGACACAACCCTGACAGAGTATGAACGACGCCGTCTATCTTGCAGCACCAGGGGTCAAACGCACCACGCTGAATAATTTGGATATTGGCACGGCCCGTGGGTCGGGTTTTACAAAACAACGCGACGCGCCGCTGAACTGGAACAGCAGCGGTGCCCATAGACGGAGCGGCACGACAGCTCCCCGCGGACCCCACGTGGGCGCGAAGGCCAAATTCAGAAGACACCGCAAGCCAACACGTTTAACCTGACACGACCCTGGGCCCGAAATGAAAAAAAAAATGACAAGGACATGGGATGGCAAAACTGAATTTGGACGCGGAGAAAACGCTGTGGAAGAAACCATCCACGAACGGGCATGGCGTGGATGCGGGGGCGAGGGCGCCTTGGCCTGAGGGTTTTCCTTGGGAGGAGGGGCGCCAAGGGGGAGGCGTGGCATGCGAGGCTCCAGGGGTCGAGACGCGGGACGGGTTTCCAGGATATGATTCAGCAGGTGCCAGGGATCGCGATGACAACGACGGAAACGGAGCCTGGCAATGACGGGGGGGAGGGGAGGGAACATATTGACATCCCAGAGGGTATCATTGCATCGCACAGGGCATACAAGTAGCGCAGGGGAACATAAGAGGGACCATGATAGGATAAGGCAACGACCTTAGAGCAACATGCCAACGGCCCTGCTGCAACGCATTGCGGTATACACTACGATCACATGTTTACGATGTCTGGTTTACGTTGCGATGCGTTTTTGTTGTTTCTTGATAGCCGTGACCATTGGTGCAGCGCCCCAAGATTTCTGGTCGATGGCTCTATCGCCTCACCCCCCCAGCCCCCTGTAACATGCGGGCAGCCCGAGTACTCGCCAAGTGACCGCGGCGGCGACGACTACATTGGCGACGAGGATGGGTGGTCGCTGACGGAAGGCAGCGGCGATCGGGGGGCGGGGCCATTGAGTGCGGGGAGGGCGAGGGGAAATGTGTGCGTGTGTGGGGGGGGGGGGCACCTGGTAGGACGAACCAAGGCAGGATCGCCGCGGTGTTGAGGGGGGAGGGGAAAGAGCGGCGAACAACGGCAGAATCAGAAACAACATACATGCCACACCAGTGGCTCAGAAGGGGCACGCGGTAAGTCTGGAGGACGGGCGAGAGCTAATGCCGAAGATGATGACGGGAGCAACGAGAAGGTAGAGGAAGTGCAAAGTGGTTGGGTGCGTATGTGAAGGGTGTAGTGGGACATCCTCGTCATCATCTTCTTCACCCAACTCCTCACTATCCTCATCCCTCTGGCCAGGCTCAACGCTTCCTGCCATCATCAAACAATCGTCTGAGACCTGACCAGTTGTTCCTGAAGCCGCTGGCGGTCGTCCCACACACACACCGCCAACGCTCCAAAACAGTGCGCATGGCTGGCGATGCGCGTGGCAAACGCGCATGCCACAGGCCAGCCAGGCACCACGGACGGCGCCCTCGATGAAGAGGCGCCGTCAGAACTTCAGCTTCATGGCGAGCGCCTCCTTCACCTGCTTGCCGAGGAGGCTCGGCAACGCCTTGGCGTAGTCCTCGTGCTTCGCCTTGAACGCCTTCACCTCCGCCTGGACCCGCGAGCGCAGCGAAGCTGCCGTCTTCTCCGACTTGAAATGGAACATCAAGCACCCCTGGAACTTCGTCGTGCCGAGCTTGCAGAGCTCCTGCTTTGCGAGGTCCACCAACTCGGCCTTCTGCTCGATCCCACCAGCGTCCGCATGCGTCTGGTACAGCACAAGAGCCTTCAAGGCAATCCGAATGCGCTGCACTGCTGATTGCCCCCATCCAACAGCCGAGGATCGTCCCAAGGAGGGCGATGGACACAAGGTCGGCCCTGGGGGTTCCAATGGGAAACCGACGACTGCGACGAGAGCGACCTGCCAAGGATTGCCAGCGGCTGGCACGGCAAGATAAGCAAACGCGAAAACAAACCATCCCAGACCCACCCTTCGAACGACACGGCACAGCTGGATGGTGGCATCAGCAACGCAACACATCTAGATCCGACCCCGCCCTGGCCAAGCCATCCGTCGCTGCGACCACGTCATCGGGGTTCTGCTTGAGCACGGTCCTCTCCGCATGCTTCATGAAGTCGTCCCAGGTCTCCCCCTTGAAGTACTCGATCCAGTACTTCTCACTCATGCCACCGCTGATGGTCTTGGCCTCCTTGATCTTGCCGTTGAGGTTCACGCAGGCACCCTGCACGTACTCGCCATGCACAGCTCTCAGGAACGTCTGCGCGTCTTCCAGCACGTTCCCCACGACGGCAGGGAGGCCCCCGCCCTCAGCACCACCCTTCTGTAACTCGTGGAGCTGCGCAGTAGCCCTGGTCAAGGACACGACCAGCTCGAAATTGGAATCCGTTGCAATCGCATGCGTTGCAGGGCCGCGGGCCAACAAGTCCTGATGGATCGACTTGACGGCAAGCGTTTTCTCCAGAGCGGCAGTCTTGACCGCGAGGCCGTCAAGGCTCGTGCCGCACTGATTGGCCAGCCCTGCAGCAACAACCACTGTTTCATGAAGCCTCGCGTCGTCCACCCTGCCACCCCCGATCTCCGTGGATAGGCAATGCACGATGGTGTTGGCGAGTCTGACAGCAATAGAGGCGACGGGATGCTCAGCGGTGATGCGAATCTCCGTCATGAGCTTGATTACGGCGCTGCAGTCGGCCAGTGAGAACGCCTGCAACCAATCCGACTCTCGGTCATCATCGTGCGGCCGTGCCAGCTTCTCGAGCTTGTCGCGCACATCGTCCAATTGAGCGTCCCTGGTCATATCCTGCAACTTCGTACCCACGGAAAGCATTGCCTGGCTAAGGGGCTCGGCCATCGGGAACAAGATGGTGGCCTCGGAGAGCACCTCCTGCCATTTCTGGAGCACCGCGCGGTCAACGTGCTCTGGCGGCGCGGCAGGGTCCATGATAATAGCATGCTTCGCCTCGACGAGCTTCTGAAAAGCCTCCAGCATGTCGGTAGTAGCCATCGGGGGGAGCTTCTCCTTGAACAGGCCCATGTTTCGGCACATCGCCCCCATCAGCGGGACAAACTCACAAGGATCGTCGGTCATAGTGGTGAGCAGGGTCGCGGCCTCCTGATATGAGGAATCCAGCTTGTCGATGTCCTTCAAAGCCTTGATGTACTCCGTCATCCTGGTGTTCCAGTGGCACGTGGTCTCGACCGCTGCGGCCACCAAACACAGAGACGATCTCGACGTTTTGCCGTAGTGCGCGTGCAAGGCCTGCATGTGTTCCTACGCGCGAGCAGTGCAATCGAGCAAGACACATCGCACCCAGGTGGTCGCAGCTGCACCCCCCGCCCGAAAACACAAACGCACTGGCGGGCGCCACATTCACTTAAATGGTGACCTGGGCTGTCATACGTTTCCATTAGAAAAGCCTCGGCAAACCAACACCAAAACCCAGGCGCTTCCCAGAAAGGCCGGCTGGCCTGGACTTCGGGGTGGCCATGTTTAAAACATGAGCTGCGAGCAACTTAGCTTGCGATGTGCGTCGTTTGCGCTGCAGTCCTTTGACTCCGAGTGAAGACCCTTCGACCCCATGGCAATGAGGCTGTGCCAGATCGTGTACCACTCGTCCAGCGCAGCAGCGATCACGTTGTCTGCCTCCAAGAGGTCTGCGTCGCGATACGCCTCGCAGCAGCGAGTGGCCAAGCCAACCACCTCGTCCACACTGTCGGGCCCGCCGCGGATCAGGGGGATGAGCACCTTCTCGAAGACGACATTGCTGAAGAGCTGGACCTTGGAGACCAGCTTCTCG